AAGTCATTTGTTTAAACCACACACACACTCACGCGGAGTTTAAATATAGTGCCAGCGAATGGTCATCTCCAACAAAAGCATCAGATGAGACGTAAGGAATGACCATGCCCATGGTCCTAAGCATCACCCATCGCAGGATACAGGCAGTTGATACAGTAGCCGTAATACATCTGTCCATCTGCAACAAGTGGGAATAAAACCCTGAGTACGAGAAGGTACTCAGCTAGACTTACCCGACATAACCAAAAATAAATGACACCAAGGATTATGAAGGGCTTTATAGTAGGGTAGCTGACTCATTTGCAAAAGAAGCATTTTTAGCATTTCAAGAACCTTTCTAAAAGCATTATTGCCAAGTTAATTATTATGAACCTGTCGACTAGATTTGCATCTATACTAGAGTAAACATGTGATTAAGCAATTAATGATAACCAATGATCATTCAACAACTTCCATACTGTCATATTTACTATAACTATCCAAGTGTTCCATAACATTTACTACGATGAAGTAACTCAAGTCAAGTGCTCACTATCCAGGAGCGATGGCGATTCGAATCGATTCCTAACCAGCTGGTGATTTATTCCTTACACAAATCTCACTCACCCGCTAAAGTGAGATATTGATCACCGAGTCAACTTTCCAGTATCTCTCGAGTTTGCCAGAACCACATGTACCGGGGCCGACCATTTCGCACTTTGGTCTTATCATCCCGCCCGTGTCCTACCACACCAAGCTTTGGGCACAAGGCGTCATGGGCAATCTACTCGGCCGAAAAATCTCCCAACCTTCATGTCGGAAGGTACTTTATCCGCCAAATAAATGTAAGGCATGCGTTCAACATGACTCGAGGCCCAACAACGGTCGGTCCTTAATCGACACGAGCGGGAAACACTACAGTCCAAAACTCGCAAGTCTCCGTCCGGTCTCAACTTCATTTAACACTTAGTTATACCATGACTTCATAGTCATCCAAGCAGATCCGTGTAACCACCTATAGCTCGCAGTGACAGAAATCACCCGACTTCTACCGGTCTATGCCACCTAAGCATTGACTCGATCATGGATACCGGGGTAACAAGGATATAGTATAACAAAGGTAAGCAAGGTATAATGCAGCAACGGTTGCAAACAACTCCTGAACGTAATGCATCAATTAAAGTAAAGCATTTAATGCAATCATTGCAAACCGGGAGAAAGATGCTCCGGGGCTTGTCTCTCTCGAAGGAGCTCGGACGGTGATCGGGGCACTCCGGAAGTTCCTCAACGTCCTCCTCGTCGGCTTCTGGCACTTCCTGCTGCTGCACCTCGAGCTGCTCCTCGGGCTCCTCGGGTATGACGACTGGGTTCTCGGTTTGCGATCCTGTATGATGCAATGCGCGTAAGTGATTATGAAAACGGTGCATCGAAGGAGATGAATGCAATGGATATGTTTAAATGCAAGGTAGTCAACATCATCCAAGGAATTATACTACAAACACATGTCATCTACTGCATTCTCTTCTACTACTAATATGTTAAGTTAACATATCTTATGAAATGCTTCAAAGATACACCAAAGCTTTACTAATTTCTTAATCACACTTAAAGCAACACTTGCTTAAACCCTAATTAATAATAGGTTTGAATAGCAACATATATTTCTGATGCTCCTAAAAATCTGAGAAAATTACAGTAGCATAATACTATCCTAAACAGACTACCATAAAAGTTTCATGGCATTTGGATAAGTAAACTATCCTACACAAAAATGACAAGCTATAGCATAAAAATGAGCATGAAATTACTTTGTACTATGAAAAGTGTCAAACAACAGATTAAGTATTTTTCCTATGTTCTTTATAGCATATAATGACTGTACAAAAATCATCACATGCATGTTTTATACAAAATTTGTTCTCTAACAAAAATAACAAAAATCAGCCATTAAAAGTACTTGAACTACACCTAAAAATTTTTCCACAGCACATGCATGAAACATATTTTTCCTAGAAAATACATGACACAAGAAGATTAACAAACTTGGAATTATATTTTTCTGAAGCCTATAGATTTTTCTATATATTTTTCAAGTTATGAGCAATATCCATGATTAAATAAAATCCTACAGAAAAGTATCCCAAAAATGACATGCAATAATTTTCCCAAGTAGATCTGATGATAAGGAACCTAGCAAAATTTGTTTCAACAAATTTGGAGCAAGTTTGAGCACCCAAACATTTTTCAAACCATTTCAGATTTCAAATAATAAAGAATAAATGAAAACAAATCATTTAAACAATGCTGGGCCGGCTCGCTGGAAACAGCTGGCCCACGGCCGCAACTGGCCCACGCGGACCGAGCGAAAAGGGGAGCGCGGCGGCCTGGCAGGGCTTCGGCCCACGGCCAACCTGGCCCAGCAACGGCCGAGCGAAGGGGACACGCCTACGCCGGCGGCCAGGCACCACGGCGGCGCGGCGTACCCGCGGGCGGGCGCTTCCCGGCCACGGCAAACCACGGGAAGGCGTGCACAAGGGTCGCGGGGGCAGAGCGGTGCTGATGCGCGAGAGAAGGAAGACCGAGTTGGAGCGGTTCACCGGCGCGGGCACGAGCTCCGACGAGCTTGGCCACGGCCGAGCGGGGAAGAAAACGGCCACCACGGCCTCTCACCTCGTCTACGGCAGCCACACACGGGCGCAACTGAAAGGGCTCGACGAGGCGGAGCTGCCGGCGGGAGGAATCGGGGAATGAGGCGCGGGAGGAGGAGCAAATCGTCGACGGAGCGACTGCGGCGCTCGGTGGCGGAGCTCACTGCGCGCGGAAGGAGCTGCTGCGGCTGGCTGAGTGCGGAATGCTGCGCTCGGACAGCCTGAATGCGGAGCTGCGGTGGCGTGATATCGGCGCGGCGCGCGTGCTTGCGGGGCCACGGACGCCACCACCGGCGGCGCCACCGGCATGCTGCGCCACGCCAAGCGTGTGCGTGCGCTCGACGCTGGCCGGGCGCGCGCGGGGGAGAGAAGACAAGCTGGGTGGATCGGGCCGAGGCGAGGTGGGCCGGCGCGGGAGGAGCGCGAGGCGCGCAAGGTCAAGGGGACGCTGGCCAGGCCGACTTGGCAAAGGGCTGTAAACGAGGCGCAAGGCCCACGAAGGAGGAAAAATCCTTTTCCAAATAAATTTTTCAAGGAATTTTTAAATACCATCTTTCAAATATTATTTTGAGCAAGAAAATGACCTCTTTTGAAAATGTACCAAAAATGAAAGTTGTTTAGAATTTAATTCTCTACAACTTTGCTTTTATGACCAAAGCCAAATTCTTTCTAGATTTTGAATTGTAACATCAAAGTCCACGTTTAGCTCAAAAACCCTAATTTTTGGAGAATTATTTTTAAAGCAAAATTTGACAATAATTCAAATACAAACCTTGCTCCAAAAATTGTGATAAACAATTCTAGATGATTTACAATCATAACCAAACAAGTTCTACTAACCTAGCAAGCAAAATCAGGGCAAAACAATTCTAACAAAGGTATGCAACATTCAGGTTTCACAACATGTTTCAGATGTTTCAAAGCAATGTTTCAATTGTTATTCACACGATTAAGCATGTATGCTTTGGATGCTTGATGATGCATGCTATGCATGATTTGCAATGCCTAAATGTAGGCATAACACCGGGGTGTTACAAAGGTAAAGATGAGGTAGAGGTTCAAACTCCCGTCGACAACTCCGTTATTTTTACCGAGGTATCAAAAAACACTCAAGCTTCCCCTAATCCTCGTTGAAGCCCGTCGCAAGGAATCCCTCGCAAGAGCCAAGCTCCCGGTAGGATAACTCCGTAGATAGCCCCAGGCCTTCCCCACGCGTAAGTGGATCTCTGGTATATCTTACGGCAAGCCTCTTCCGGACCGCTCTCCGCCGTCTTCACTATCAAGTTTTCGGCAAAACCGCCACAGGCCTTGTTCCCTTCGATACACGGTGACGGCCACACCACAAGCACGGTTAGTGTGATCTCGCAAGACTACAAGCCCCTCCGATGTACAACAATGATGCGTGCAAGCGCCTAGTGATAAGAGATGTACAAACCTCACTAAACACTAGGCCTAAACCTGGAGCAAGCGCATAAGCGGTGGTCTAATCAACCTAAACACTTCACAAAAGCACCTACGCTAATCACCTAATGAATCACTAAGCACTATGCAAGTGAAGATCACTAAAATGGTGTATCAACACCCTTGGTATGTTTTCTCAGCTCTCCACACATCAAATGGCCGATTGAGGGTCTATTTATAATTCACATGGAGAAAGTAGCCGTTGAAGACAAAACCCAGCTTTCTGCCATTGACCGGACACGTAGGTCGTCCTGATCGGACACGTCCGGTCGTGCCGACCGTTGAAGCCAACCGTTGGCACTCACTGTTGATAGGACTCTCTGGCGAGTCCGGTCGCTTACCATCTTACGCGTCCGGTCGACGTTTCGCCGTTCTGAAACCTCTCTGGACTCGATCGGACGCCACTGCCTGGCGCGTCCGGTCGTCCACAGCTGCTGCGTCCGGTCCTCACTGAGTTGTTGCCACGACGATAAATAGTAAAGTCCATGCGTCCGGTCACTGCCTCGCTTAGAGTCCGATCGCTACTGCTGACGCCTGCTGTTGTCGAGCAACTGATCGGACGCTACCGGTCCTCATAGGGCCGCGTCCGGTTATTTTTGCCGAGCTCGTTTCTTCGCGATCTTGCATCCAGCTTGGTTTTCATCTTCGTGCTTGGACTTTACTTAACATCTTGAGTCTTTTCTTGTGCTTATAGGGTCTTGCTTATGGTGTTGATCGTGGAATCATCATATCGCATTCGTCCAAGTCACGTTTTGCACCCTATTAAACTACAAAACAATTACTTACAAATTCATTAATTCAATTTGATTGTGTTGGTTATCAAACACCAAAATCCAAAATAAATAGACCTAACATACATTTTCCTTGCACATATAATACATCTAGTCTTCTACGAGGCTCCTAACTAGTAGCCTACCTGGTCATCATCTGTAGTGCGTCTGTGAGCAAGATGGCATCCTTGCTAGTTTGGCCTGCTCTCCAGACTCTGAAGTCCTTGGTGAAGAAGCCACTTTCCCACCACATGCGCAGGTGCTGCATTATAAATGGCCCTTGCTCCTCACCCTGAGGATCAATGTAATACCAAATGGGCTGCGGGACTTCTCCATTCACCTTCACGTGTCTATGGCCTCTGCTATTTGTCTCGTGTTGCACGGGATGGTTATCCCCGGCATCATCAGCTTCTAGATCAACAACTACTGCTGTTTTTTCTTCAAAAGCAACTACTGCTGTTTGTTCTCCTTTATCACAAGGATGATTGTCATCGTCGTCGTCGTCTTCAATGGTAATAACATCAGCAGCTGAAACAAGTCACGTTCAGTCAGGTATAAGAATGAAGGGAGAAAAGGGATTAAAAACTTGAGAGGACAGAAATATCATGTTTTCAATCAACTAGCATGAGAACATTAGCAACACAGCAGTGGAACAAACCTTTAGCACACTGCTTTTGAAAAAATGCTCCAGGTGCATCACCGCCAGTGCTGGCTTTGGTAGCTATGTCAAGTAGCAACAATGAAAAGCATCAGATAGCTCAACATGGCGCATACATCAGAAAAAATACAGCAGCGGAAAGAGGAAAGCTAATAAAAGAACCATCCTCAGAAACTCATTGCAAGCAAACCTTCAATGCTCCCGTGTTGAACATCTGTTCCAGTTTTATCACCATCAATGCTAGCTTTAGCACCTGCATCACACAAAATGAACAGTGTAAATAAGAAAAGCATGCATTAGAGGGTTTTTTCAATCAACCAGCATGAGAATATTAGCAGCAAAGCAGTGGAACAAACCTTTAGCACACTGCTTTTGAAAAAATGCTCCAGGTGCATCACCGGCAGTGTTGGCTTTGGTAGCTTTGTGAAGTAGCAACAATGAAAAGCATCAGATAGCTCAACATGGTGTATACGTCAGAAAAAATACAACAGCGGAAAGAGGAAAGCCAATAAAAGACCATCCTCAGAAACTCATTGCAAGCAAACCTTCAATGCTCCCGTGCTTCACATCTGTTCCAGTTTTATCACCATCAGTGCTAGCTTTAGCACCTGCATCACACAAAATGAACAGTGCAAATAAGAAAAGCATGCATTAGGGGTTTATCCAAAATGCAAAGCAAAGTGGATGTGTAAATTTGCACGATTAGACATGCGGGGTTAGTATAAGAGAACCTTCAGCATCCAGCTTTTGAACAGGTGAAATATCACCAGCATTATTGGCTTCAGTGGCAGCTTGGCGATGTAAATACTTTGGTAGCTCAGGAGAAAATGCAATGGCAGCTATACGGGTAGAGGAAAGGTTACTAGATCAATTGTTAGAAAACTAAGTGAAAAGACAGATAATAAGAGAACCTTTAGTGCTCTGATTTGGAGTGTGTATTACAGCGGTACCACCATCGGTGTAGGCCGTAGTAACTGCGTCAAAATAGTAACAGCAATGAAAACTAGCCACGTATCCACTTACTCCAGTTTTTAAATCCTACTAAAGGCAAAGCATAAGCGTTGGTGGCTTGGTGGATTTGGAAGCATAGGAACAGTTTTGTCACTTTAGTGCAACAGATAAGAGACGAGGGCAAAATGTGGTGTGTGGTGTGTGGGTCACATTTAGGAAAAATATATATATAAAAGAAAACCGTGACGCAGGAATTCTAGAAAGTATACTTGCTAAGTCAATTTCTTTAATAGTTGTATTATTAGGGTGCCCATTAGACACCATTAAAATGCTATTGGTTAAAACCAGTAAATTTTCCACGTTGACAGGCTAGAATTTTCCAGCAATTCACTATGTGGTCTAATCTACACGCAAATATAAGGAAAATATTCATGTGTTGTGATTGTCAAGCCACAAAAGTGGAAAGACTAAACTCGAGCAATATTGTGTAGCTAAATTAGTTACAAACCAAATGAGACCTATAGTTCAATACAGTGTCTAATTTGAATGTATTTATCGTCGCAAATGCCAAATAGACAGATTATACCACCCAAAATTAAGCTTAAAAGGGCCACAGAACTTTAAAGAATCAAAGAAAATGTATCTTGTAGAAGCAAACCTTCATATTTTTCTTCCAATAAACTTTTCAAGGAAAGATTTCTCTCGCCACCAGTACCTACAGAAAATTAGAGTGCTTAACTCTTCCATCCAAAATAATTGAGCACATTTTATATAACCTTTAAATTTTTCTTTTAAAGAAATATTCAAGCAAAGAGCACTCTTCCAATCAGTACATACACATAAAACACAATATTAACCTCATATAAATTTCAAACAGTCAAGTGCTGAATATACAAGTAAAGTGCAAAACCTTTGAAATTTTTTTCTGTGCAGGTCTTCAAAAAAGGAGACCCTGTCCCATTGGTACCTACAAAAAAAAAGAACATCACAATGTTCACCTTGCATGAAATTTTTTTTAACACAAACTATAAAAGCAAATCCTTGTAATTTTCTTCTGAGCATCTTTTCAAAGAAATAATGCTCTCTCCATTGGTACCTGCAATATAATAAATGGTTGCCTTCCATTCAAGAAAATGAAATTTCTAAAAAGAAGCCAATGAAATAAACAAGAGAATTAAAAAAAAGAGTGATTCGTTTCTGATAATTCAATGTATCCAATTTTATGGCCAACTTTTACTGTGTTCATATTCAAAATAAATAACAGGAGGCAACCCTAGTGTAGAGAAGTTACATTAAATCGCAAATCTAAGCAAAAGAAAAAAACATACCACAAAGGACATTGATGATGCAAAGAAAATTCAAGTGCTACTAGAATTTATGTTCATATAATTTCTGGATGCTTTTGATGTTACACAGATCCAATTCAGTAACAATTAGCAATAACAGAAATTTTAGGAGTGTCACCTTGTAAAGAGACAGTACTCTCTTGAATAGGTTTGTCTTGTCCTGTAACTTGAAATTCGGTATCTTTACTATCTTCCATCTCTGGAATAACTTGTGGGACCTCTTCAAGTAGACGTTGTTGTTCAGATGGTTTTCGCAAGAGCTGTTTCTTATCAAGGTATTCAAACTTCGTAAAATGCAACCAGTTAAGGATACAATAGCACACAGCACAAAGTTCACTTGTGACTTGTGAGTCACAATCAACAGTCATAAAAATGAAAACAAGATAGATTCCATATTAAGAAACATCAGTACATGATTAAAAGAGCTCATATAGCAAGGATATTCCTTGTGCCAACCTTTCTCACTTGCCCTGTCAATTAATCTTTCTAGCCTCTGGAGTTCTTTACTGATCCACTAAAAGGGAAAAATGACCACTCAGTTATAATATCTTACAAACAATTCATTTTGTAAAATTAGAAGAGAACATCTATAGAAAACATGTCTGAGAACCAAAGTACAGATTTTAGTGCGATAGCCAAGTCATGAGAACTGAGATACAAACAGTGATTATTGACTAACCAAAAGAAGTTTATCTCAAATCGAAATGCAAAAAAAAAAAGGAATGTACAAACATAATGTGCAATGTCGATCTGATCTTGTAGCATACTTACATGACTCACTATGTCCCTGCGTAAACTTCTTGCTTTCTCCTCAAGATCACCCTGTAAAATTCAGCATGTTAAGACAACTAGAAGAACCTTAGCTCATAAGTTAGAAAAAAAAAACACTCAATTAAAACAAAACAAGCATATGTCTGATTATTTACCATGCCACACCAATGACTCAATAAGTCAATTTATTATGTTATGGTACTTAATGTCGTCTACTTATATGTAATGCAATTTCCCGCATTTTGGGAACTTGCATTGCTTGTTGTCCAACCCTTCTAGATACTCAATGTTTAAATTCTTAGACTCCTGAACTGCTTATAGTTATAAGTTAGTCTTTGCACTTGATTATTCTTTAGTCAAATTAATCCCCAGATTAGTTGAGCTCCAAACACGGAACAGCTCAAACAATCCAGTATGTTTACTTGTTTAGGTAACAACAACCATGCAAAATACTATACAATATATATCAATTCGCTGTGTTAGTATTTATCTTTCCAACAACTAATTGGCAAAGAAACAGTTCCAAGTCAAACTAGTATATGAAGATTTTACAAAGTAAACATTTCAAACAGCAAAATTGGGACAACAAGAAAACTACAGATAGAATATGAAGTGAAATAACTAAAAGCCATGGCCTATGCAATAATGCAACAGGAGAATAATTGTATCCGGTATTGTTTGCTGCTAGTATTACGGATAAAGCACTGAATAACTGCTTCATCACCACCAGGGGGCAATTGCATAAGTACCCTCAATTTGACATCTAAGTACATGTTTTTCAACTTTGCATCATTGCCCCCTGATTTGACCAAGTCAACGCACCATTGCCCCTGTGTTTGCCTTCTTTGATGGCAAAACCAGGGGCAATGATGCATTGACTTGATCAAAGTAGCAGCAATGGTGCAAAGTGGAGAACAGGAGAGCAAAAGTGCAGTTAGAGGTCAAAGTTGAAGAGCAGCATTGCAAATGGCCCAGTGAACAATAACGCATGTCATGGTTTAAATAAACATTTTCTGTTATTGACTTATCTAGTATGTGAAGTGCCAATTCTAAAAGCACGTTCACCACAATAGGACAAGTTTAGCCAATCATTCATAACAACCTTTTTAAAATCTGTGTCAACTGAGTGGACGGGGAAATTGATCTTTTTGATGTCTATTAGCCGATACTATCGAAATATGATCAATAATGGCATGAAAGAGATTAAAATTTATGGATAGTGGCATTGGCAGGATTTGAGTTTTTTAGGTGGCAGATCAGGGATACAAGTATTAGACAATGGAATATAGGAAAATTACCCAAAAGATTAATGGCCCATGGGCCACGGTGCATTTCACTCTTATTTTTATTGGTGGTTCTTATTGGGTTTCATGCGTAGCCTACCCCAACTTGTTTGGGACTACAATTCAATGGCTTTGTTTATTGTTGTTGGTGGTACCTCCTTCCCTGCTATCACAAAGAATGCCTACTGAAATTAGAACCTCAGTGGCTTGCATTATCATCTGCTACTGGGCCACCAGCATTTTTGTTAAAGGAAATATGAAGCAAGGGTAACTTACAACAGTAGGCCTTTTAAAGGATTCATTCTTGGCCAGCAGCCGAAGATCTTGACATTCTTCCTGTTATAATAAACAATAGAATGTTTTCCTCAACATCATGTATGCAAGGAAAAAATATGTAAGTGACACAGGGAGGAAACCATTATTCTAAATGAGAAATAATAACAAATGCAGTTTCATAGTGTACATATTTACTTTTTAAAAATAAACATATTTTCCCAAAAGAAAATGTAGGTATGAATCTATGTTTCCTAACACAGCCTGTCATCAATAGCTGCTGGAACACACAAAGGCACAGTAAATCATACCTCATCGAATTCGTCATCTGACAAACTCGAAATTTTGACATCAGGTATGCTGGAAATACATAAAAGAACATCTGCCAATACGTTGTTTATCTTGTATTCTTCAGAGGATTTCCTGGTGCCTGTTTGCATATCTTACATGAGCAGATAGCAAGCAAATATCTGGTTGCTAAAAGCCAGAGAGCATGGATGACTAATATATGGAATCCATTATAATTCCTTATTTAACTCACAGAAAGACTGATTTCACAACAGAATAGAAAGAGCATGCATGAGAAGCAGATTTATAGTCATCTGCTGGAGGAATAGCAAAGATGCAGGTGAATTAAGCATAGAATAGTGTAAGTTCACAGTTGGAGTGGTAAAAGTTAAGCATTACCTGTTACTAGTCCAAGCTGGTGCAACTTTTTATGCTGGCGCAACGTTTTATGCATGTAGAAACTATAATCGTAGGGATCGATCTTTACTCTCACAAAACAACCAATAACTTTGCTGTCAAATGTATATGGCTCCTTTAGTAGATCCACAACCAAAGATTTCTTCAAGTAGATTAAATTAATGTTATCACGAACAAGAGCAGCAAAACATTTCTTGTTTATTTCTGGAGTACTGGAACTGTAGTTCCCAATACGAGCTTTCTTTTTCACAAATGTTTCATTGTTATCGTCAGAGTTCGCAAAAGTTTCATCCTCTGATGTCATATCCACAGCAATATGCTTTCCTAACAAGCTAAATATCCTGTTGTACCTCACTTTTGACCTCCTAAACAAATTCTTGAGCTTGTCATCACATAGGACAAGTTTTTTCTTATTATCTTTTGCGAAGAGACCTTTTTGTTGAATGTACACCCTCACAACTTCAGTAGCACCATGTTGATCTAGGGAGTTCAATGTATCTTTGCCTATTGAGGAAAGGAACTCAATGAGCTCTTTTGAACCCCAGCCCACATAGCCATTCTTCATTGACTTATCAGCCCTCAGGAAGGATTTCATTGTATTTGATGTTCCATTGAATTTGGTTATGGAAGATGGCTTGTTGTCGTCGTCGTCATCACTATTGCCCACAAAATCATCATCTGAACTGCACTCTTCATCATGAACCTTTTCTAAATCTAGATCTTGTCTGCAGTTTAGATCTTTTTTCAGAGAAGCATATGCTTTTTCAAGCTTATCCAGAGTCATGCCCTCCTTGTCTTTAACCATCTCCTCCCAATACTCCTTGAATAAAAATTCATAAGTCGACATGTCATTGAAATCGACCCTTTCCTAGAAAACACAGTACAAAAGGGAAGTGAGAAAACATAGATTCAAGTGAAGTCAAATGGAAGAGACTCAGGCTGCCTTGACTCAACTAGATTAACTTTAAGGCTTAATCTACCCTAAGTTAATTATCCAAAGAAATTTGTTCTACAATATAACTATCTGTTAGAATATAATTATAACAGCCCATATTGGGCGTATGGCCCATTGGCCCGTGTACATTGTAACCCTAGCCTATTAGGCTATATAATGAAGGCCACCCCCCCTGATTAGGGTGTGCGGTGTTATTCTACACTATCTACTCCCTCCGTTCCGGTATAGAGGGCACGACCTGGCTTGTTTCAGATACCAAGGACGCCAGCCCATCACCTGCAAATCGTATTAACCCGCGTAAACCGGCCATCAAGTCTAACCGTCGTTTCATTTTTTGCCCAATAACTCATGTAGTATACAGCCCGCATGCATGCAAATCGATCGCTGGTCGAGTAACAGACGCTTTGGTTCCCATGCAGACGTTTCGATTTCCATGAATACAATAAGTACTGCTCCCAAACCAGCAGCCCCGCCTTCTAATGCGGTCAAAGTGAAAAACTCTTCCACGCCCTGTACCGGAACGGAGGGAGTATCATGCAAGCAACTACACTGTAAGAGACAGGCATGTTACACAACACTGGTAGGAACCAGCTGCAACCTCAAGCAAATAATTACTAGTGGCTCAGAAGGAATAAGTGATCTTGATTCTTGAGACGATATGGACAAACAAACTACCACAAGCCGACAATTAGTATATAAGTTTATAAGATATGTTAAAGCAGAACTGTAGATTAATTAGCAGAGGTAAAGTAATCAGTAAATGTTTAGGGAAACATTAAATTACGTTAGGTTAATTTTCACCAAAAAAATACACAAGGCAACAATATATAACCAAACTACACAAGGCAATGATACAGAACCAAATAACACAAAACGACCATATTGAAGAAAGATGACTGTTAAACAGCAATTGTAGGACATTTCTAAAGCTGAAATCCAGTATAGACTATTATCAGCTAGTTACAGATGATGAAAGGGAGAAGACAAACATAGTAAAACGGGAACAATTGATGGCATGAGCGACAGTAGGGAAAAGTAGTAATTGCACACAGATCGTGTGCAAGTAGTTACCCCATCGGAGTCAACATCAACATTCTTCTCAATCATGATTGCCATCCTTAAACAATTGGTGCAGAATCCCTTTGTCTTCCTCAAGACTGGGACAAATTCTGCTTGTTTCACGCAACCTTGACAAAAGGCGTGCCACGGACAGCAAAAGCAATAATAACGTGACCGCCCTTTGCAAATAAAGCAAGTATGCCATTCTGCAAAGTATAGTTTAGTCAAAAATTACGATAATTCATAATCTAGTGGGGAATATAACAAAAATTAAAATTGAATCCACAAAACTCAGAACCAATTCAAGTTACAACTGAGGTAACTTTCCCAGTTACGAGCATTAGGTTTGATCATGTGCCCAATTAAGAAATTAACTCATTTATGCATTTACCCAATTAGTTGGCTGCCTAAAAATATGAAGATTTCTCTTTCCCAAAAATCTGATTTCCTAATATTGAGCTGCATATTGCAGTCCCTTATATAGGATACCCAGAGTAACAAGTAGAAGAAAAAATAAGAAAGACCAAACAATGTTTAAGCCTATGGGACTTTATCAAAAAGGAAGGTCAACTTTCAGTAAACCAGTATGTTCCCCGGCACAGTGACATGCATTTTCAGAACAATAATGGGTGCTCATAGAAAGATTAAACAAAGAACAATGAAATGCTTACTACAGATGAATTCTTCATCTGAATTAAGGAAGTCGCTATCTTTCCCCACGCAAGCAGGATGGTAAGCTTTGTGACAGCCCCTGGGAAAAAAAAAAGAGTTTTGAAAATCTCAGGAACACGAAAATGGACTCCAACAATGAAACAAAGTGATTTGACTCCTTAGAGATGAATAATTGATAATGCCATGACACCAAGGGAATAGGCAATATCTATTGTCCAGTTCAATGTTAAGTCAGCAATTTTTTGCTACATGACAACCTCACCATGCCTGGTATTTGTAAGGCAAAACACGGTAACGGAAATTGTGATTGGATATTCGGATAATGAGCAAACGACAACACACGCCAATGAAAAAGCGAATGCGCACTGATAAAATTTTCAGTTTCAACCTAGAGCTGCAGTTCTAACTATGAACACAAGGAATCAAGGATCAATGGCAATATAGGCATCAGGCCTATAGTGGTACTTACATGGGCGTCGCTGGTCAAAGTTTCCAGAACACAAAAAACTACACTGTTTGGAATGCAGATTTTTTTTCCCTGTTTGAGGGATGTGATTCCTGTAAAATCCTGCATTCCACGTGGTCCCTAAACCTGCTCCATCAATGCCCGAGTTTGTAGGTTCCCGAAACCAAGACATGCTGTTTTGGCCGTCCTCCTACCCTATATGAACTCTGGTTCGCACGCCACTCTCACCGACGGATCATGAGATGAGACGAGGAAAGTCCGGGGGAGAAGGGGTAGGGGGCGAACCTGAAGTCGCAGACGCGGAGGTCGCCGCCGTCCTTGCAGACGAAGCAATAGTCCTCCCCCTCCACTGGCTCCACTTCCTCTTCCTGCTCCTCCTCCTGTTCCTCCTCCGCGACCCGCCGCGGGCGCTTGCTCCCGCATCCACCCCCGCCAGCGCCAGACGCACGGCTGCGCCTCCCGCTCCTCGCCCCCTTCCCCATCACCGCCGACCCAAGCACCCCACGCCGGCTGGCGACCTGGGCGAGCGCAATCAACGGGAGAGGAATCGAGGGGAACCGAATCTGACGGAAGATGCCGCCGCTTAAATGCTTACTACTAATTAATGCAATGCGGGAAGAGGAGCCGAGAGCCGGGTTGGGGATTATTCGTGGTTCGTTCACCGTGTGCAGACTGTAGAGGGGTTTGGGTTTATAAACTCCGTGCGCCGAACTGGCGACGTGGGCGAGGCGACCGCCGACCGGGCGTGTAGGTGGTCAGGCGGATTCCGAGGAGGGGCTCCGTTCCAGGCGGCGGCGGCGGCTGCTGCTAGTGCTAGTGCAGCGGTGCAGCCTGCAGTGGACCTGTGTGGAGTGTGAATCGTGACAGGTGTCAGTGGAGCGTCGACAGCCCACTGTCGCCTCAAACAAAGGAAAAGAGAGTGCAAGCGTGCCCACAGCCACCGGCGGGTCGGAGCATGTCCATACCTCTCTTCATCTATACTCACTTATCAACGACAGTTTTTATCCAACTGGTTGCCCTCCTACGCGAAGGTGTGACCCGCCCTCCGCAGCCTCCCACCACCGCCGCGGCCAGCGACACGCCGCCTCATTGCACCGCCTATCATCCGCTCTTGCCCTCCGCTAATACGTCGTCTTCGTCATCGCCGACGAGCCTCCCCCACTTCTACTCCGCCCAAACCACGCCTCCACCACCACGGTCGGTCACACTTCGCCGCCTCACTGCCTACTGCTATGGATCTAGAGTCTGGGGGAGGAAGCAAACCCTAATCGCCTTCGGCGGAGGTGATGTCGGAGCGGCGCGCGGTCTCACGAGTGTGTGACCATCGCGTATTAGAGTTTGCACTTATTTAATGTTCATAAAATCCCTACTAAAACTGGCCTATGAGAAATCCCGATGCTAAAAACTTTCTATAGCTATTAATTTATTTAGATACTACACATAAAAACTATGTTTTTATGTATATAGTTCCAATAGAATTTTTTTTATTCAATTACATGTCTTCTCTCTTCGTCACGTACCTATCACATCTTTTTATGTCTTAGTTCTCTTATAGACATGGTTTCTTAGAGCAAGGTCAATAAAACTTGACTATAAGCCAAGATAAATCATCTAGAGACAAGTTTATAGGCCAATGCATACAATAACTAGTCTCTCTTTTCTTACTTAAACATTTATTTTGCACCTATCATGTGTGGAGAGAGTTTGAGATGAGAATGGAAGACATTTGAGAGTGGCGCCCGCGCATAGGGGTGGAGCATTGGTTTGCACGCTCAGCTAGTTGCTGGCTGGAGCGACAAGCTTCCATTTCTCTCCCCTTCGTTTCATCCGCTATGCTGACGCGTTAGAGCAAGGTCTGCCAAATATTTTGCTATAAGTCAAGTAATAAGAGCTAAATTATACAACAGTTAATATTTTTATTTGTCTACAAACTTTATTATTATTATTATTATTATTATTATTATTATTATTATTATTATTATTATTATTATTTCATTCTCTTTCCTATTTTTTCTTGCATACATATCTATTGGGACCCACTACTGTCTATGTTTCCGTGTCCAGCTTGTTGCTTGCATGAGAGCCAAACTCTCCTCTCTTCTCCTTTCTCTTTCACATAAGTATTTGCTTAGCTATAAGCCAATTATTGTACTTACTCTTAGACGAGTCGTCTATTGTTGTACTTGCTTATCTAAGAAACCTTTTTTCTCATCTCTCTTCTTTAATGGTATGTCACATCTTTTTGCTCAATTGATACCTTTAATAATGAACATAGAAATCATGTACTCCCTTCGTCCCTTTTTAATTATCGTTCTCATTTCTCAATAAGTCAAATGTATTCAACTTTAACCTAATATATACAAGAAAATATTAATATTTATAGTACATAATTAGTATCATTAGATAGATCGTCGAATCTATTTTCGTAATAAACTTATTTAAAAATATAAATGTTGCTAATACTTTTACAAACCTAATTTAAACTTAAAAAAGTTTGTTCAACACCAATACCATAGAGACACTTGACAGAGGAGTAGTTTCTTGGTCGTAAGTATCCGGAAGACAAAGGTTCAATATAAATCAAGATGTAAAAACCAACTACATAATAGTTGTATTCTATTTGTTTATAAAAGTTTTTATGTAGTATGGTTTTTATGTAGTTGTACAACCCAAAAGTGTAAAGCCTCGTTGACCCAATGAGTAGTATGGGTGGATCCAGATATTTTTTTGGCTACTATAGATCATGAATACTATCAACAGATAAACACTTATAGACACCAGTAGAGAAACGACTTTCGATTCACTTCAAAATTTTGCTTTAGTCATGGTATTTTTCGTGCTCGGGACTAGAGAAACCTTTAGTCCCGGTTGGTAGCTCCAACCGGGATTAAAGGTCCTCTGCCTTTTGCTGCAGAGGACCTTTAGTCCCGGTTAGAGCTACCAACCAGGACTAAAGGTTAACTTTTACTCCCGGTTGGTCACTCCAACCGGGAGTAAAAGTCTACTCCTGAATGGAGGCTCCGTTCGAGACTAGAAAGGGACCTTTAGTCCCGGTTGGTGTCTTCAACCGGGACTAAAGGTCCCCTCCTATATACCCCTTCTTCCTCTCCGAGACCGAGCCACTTCGACCTCAGTGTTCTTGCTTCATCGCCAACCTCTCTTCTTCCTCATCATCGGTAATCATAAGATTTCTTCGATTCCTCCATCGATTCTTCGGTTCTAAAGGTTACCAACTTTATACTCTCATGTTTCATCAGTAGCATATCTCATTTTGTGGACTAGATATATGTGGTTTTTTATGGTGAATTTTTTTTATTTGTAACCCATTTAAGCTCAAAATCACTTTAAAGTTTGCATATTTGGATGAAGGAAGGTTAAAGTAGTTATTCAAAACTAGTATTCAGCTTTCATTTCTAGCATGCATAGCACACTTCATGGTTTAGAGATATAGAGAATTTTAGAGTTTTTTTAATTTTATTTGTTTATAAAATGAGAAATTTATATTATATTAAAAATGAGTATAGAGAGCAGACGGCAACTGCTTTCGGGTCCTCGGCCTCTCATCGGGTTCCAAAGCGACTGAGGCCGGACCTCCCTCTCATTGCATGTGGCAAGTGTGAGGAGAAGATTGTGATGGAGTACCGGGTGAGGAAGGAGTGTCCCAATAAGGGTCGTATCTTCTACAAGTGTTCAGATCGCAATGTGAGTTATTTTGTCGTATTTGATGATTATGGTTAATTTATACTTATTTTCATGATGATTGTGATTAAAGTTCTAATTTTTTGTTTTAATTTCAGTGGGATGGCACTGGATGTTCAGGCTGGTACTGGGAGGAAGAGTATGTTAAACATGTGCAAAACTCTTTTGCACAGGCGGCTACGGCGGCTGATGAGGCAGTGATCCTGCGGAAAGAAGCCCATAGATGTTGAACAAACACATGATCTGTCTGTTTTAGTTGGGATTGGTCGCGAAATCCTTATACTGCTGAAGTGCATTTGAGCTTTAGTTTTTTTAGTGATAGTTGGGATTGTCTACATTGTAGCGAGACTTTCATAAATTAATACCTTGTGTAATGACATGCATGTCGTATAATTAACTAATTATGTTCTAGGTTTTAATATGGTATGTATGTCATGTAATGCAGATGAGCCGACATTGGATGTACAATGCTGATCGCCGTTCCCAAGAGTTCATTGAGGGCGTGCATTCTTTCTTACGTGTGGCCGAGGCAAACAAACGCGATGGTTTCATGTGCTGCCCATGTGCCATATGTAAGAATTTGAAGGAATATGCTAGTTCAAGGAGTCTTCATTCACACTTGTTGAAGTCATGTTTCATGCCAAACTATATTTGTTGGACGAAGCATGGAGAAATCGGGGTTGTAATGGAAGAAGGTGAAGAAGAACAATGGGACGATGATGACATTATTGCTGAATATGGTGCCTTCAATGATACTGCAATGGGGAAAGCTGAAGAAGAGGTAGGGGCAGAAGATGAGCCCGTTGATGATCTTGGTCAGACCATTCGTGACACACAAAGAGAATGCAAAAGTAAAAAGGAGAAGATCAAATTTGAGCGCATGCTAGACGATCACAAGAATTTACTATACCCAACTTGTGATGCGGGGCAGAAAAAGTTAGGTACCACACTGGAATTGCTGCAATGGAAAGCAAAGAATGGTGTATCTGACAAGGGATTTGGGGAGTTACTGAAAATCCAAAAAAGATGCTTCTGAAGGATAACGAATTGCCCGTCACTACGTACGAAGATACATGCATGTCCTAATAATTGCATCCTCTACCATGGCGAGGAGTACGAGAAGTTAGATGCATGCCCGATATGTCATGCATCGCGGTATAAGATCAGGCGAGATGACCCTGGTGATGTTGAGGGCGAACGTCTTATGGAGAAAATCCCTGCCAAGATTATGTGGTATGCTCCTATAATACCACGCTTGAAACGTCTGTTCAGAAACAAAGACCATGCAAAGTTGTTGCGATGGCACAAAGAAGACCATAAGGTAGATAATATGTTGAGACACCCTGCTGATGGGTCCCAGTGGAGAGCAATCGATAGAGAATTCCCAGAGTTTGCAAATGATGCAAGAAACTTAAGGTTTGCTTTAAGTACGGATGGTATGAATCCTTTTGGGGAGCAGAGCAGTAGTCATAGCACTTGGCCTGTTACTCTATGTATCTACAACCTTCATCCCTGATTATGCATGAAGCGTAAGTTTATTATGATGCCAGTGCTCATCCAAGGCCCAAGGCAACCTGGCAACGACCGGCAAAGCGTAAGTTTATTTTGGACAATGAGTGATGAAAAAATAAAAAGATTTACTTTAAAATGATGTGAAAACAAATTTCCAATCGAAAACAAAAGTTTTAATGATTTAAATTAAACACTAAATTTTTGCATTAACAAAATAGTAATTATTAATGACATTATGTTTCAATATTTATAAGAAAAAACAAAAAACTTT